AAGTGTCAGATAATGCAGTAGTCTTCCTCAGAGCCAGGGGCGTCGGACTGGGGGGGGAAAGGGTACCGTTTACCCAGGGCCCACTGCAGGGAGGGGCCCTGAGACAGCTTTGAATAAAAATGTTTTATTGTTGTTGTTTTTTTCCCCCAACTTACTTAATGTCTTAATAAATTTCCCTTTACCTGGATAAAGAGGTTAAGAAACAGAATTTCGCCTTAAAAATAATAACTGAATAATCTCTGAGGCATCTATCACCCCTTAAAAATGTGCAAAGTGGTTTAGTCCACACCAGCGGCCAGGGGCTGCCCGGCTGCATGTGCTAATGAGACATCGCAGATGCCGACAGCCAGAGCTGGAGGCAGGAGAGTCAGTCATGTCTTTTCCCAAGAAAGGGAAATCTGGCTTCCAGAAAAGAAAAGAAAAGAAAAGAAGGAGAAGGAGGAAAAGTTAATTGAACAGAAGCAAGTAGAAGGAAGGTGAGCAGCAGCAGCAGAACACAGTTTTAGCTGATATTAGCTAGCTCTCAGAAGCTGCATTCATGTTAGGTGTTCAGTGTTAAACACCTTTAGTTTCACCATCAAGATCAAATATAAATTAATTAGTGTTATCAGTGAAAACACTAATTTTAGGGATAAGCCGGATACTCATTTCAGACGAGTATCCGGTACGGATAACGCATTTTTGATGAATACGAGCATGAAACTAGTAAAACGAGTCATTCTCTGTAATCGTGCTGAAGGAAAATCTTCATTGGGTAACTGACTGTCTTCGCGCTCTGTGATTGGCCAGTCACATAGAGCGCCCGCCCCTCCCTACTTACAAAACTCTCTAGCCGACCGGGAGCTCAGTCCGGCCGGCTCATCCACGCACACACACAGACAGTAACGGATCGCGCTGTGATGGCTTCACTGTTGCTCACGTTTCTTCAGTTTTCCCTAGGTTTTCTTCAGCTCGCCTCTTTTTCGGTTGAATATTTAAAGTTACTTTTTTCGTAACTGACATGGTGCAAGACAAGACAGAGCTGACGTGCTGTTGTCACTACCTCCGCTCCGGTGGGGTTTTTAATTTTTTTTCTCTCTCTCTCTCTCTCTCTCTCTCTCTCTCTCTCTCTCTCTCTCTCTCTCTCTCTCTCTCTCTCTCTCTCTCTCTCACACACTCACACACACACATTAATCAACATTTCTTTGTTAAACTTTGTGTGGGAAAATGCCAAGAACGTTAAGAAAAAAAAATCAGTTTAATCAAATTAAAATAAAAAAAATATATAAAGTTGTGTCTGGTTCTAGCATTTCATATTTCCTAGTTCCTACTGCATGGGTTCAGATGTATTAATCCATGCACTCAAATATTAATGTTCTGATTTTATTGAAACACTTTTTCTGTAATAGTTTCTTTACTATTGTGATCAAAAATATTTAATCTCACTTCTGAGGCTGCTCTGTAAATAGTTTTCAAATAAACAATACACATAGCAACTTCTGATCAATCCATATAAATTTCAGACTTAAAATAATACATTGATGTAAACCATGTCCACTTCCGGTTAAACCACGCCCACTTCCGGGTTATGCCACGCCCATTCCGAGTACAGATACAGATAGTGGTGTACTCGCTCATCCCTAATATATATATGTATATATATATATATATATATATATATATATATATATATTAAAATCAGAATTATTATCGCGGGCGGCCGCCGCCAATTAATTCGCGGACCTCGCAGTAAAAACAGGTTCACTCTGTGTGGATATTTCAGCTCCTTCCCAGTCATGGACCAGGACAAACTTGGTATCGATGGATTCGTGGTAATCTCAGGAATGAGAAGCTGCCACTGTTTTTCGTATAGCATGACGACACTGGTGTTAGAGGATTGTTATTGACTTGGTTAGATATTTTAAGCCTATTTTAAATTTCTTTATATTTGATCTTGAAAACGGACAATCTTATAATTTGGCTGATAATGCAGGGATTATAAAATTTAGAGTGCATTACATTCACAGAGAGAACCTGGTTTATTTCATGTCATATGTATTTAATATATCAATACATATAAGTATTAGCAAAGCTTAACATCATGAACCATGACAGACATGACTGAAGAGCAGATGAAGACATCATGCCAGGCACTGATGAGAAAATATTACAAGGATCTCACAGCTGAATTTGAGAATGAGATGCTACACCTGAGAACAATATATGGTGCCACATTTCCACACATTCGGTCTCCTCTTGAGCTGCTTAATGCCATACAGGATGCAATTACAGAGCATTTTTGGAGAAGTTTGTATTGGACTGAGGATTTTTTGCACACTGCCTGTGACTGTTGCTGGGGGTGAACGGGCTTTTAGCAAACTGAAACTGGTGAAAAATTATTTGAGATCAACAATGTCCCAGGATAGACTGAACAGCCTAGTTCTTTTTTCTATTGAAAGCCAATTAGCCAAAGGATTGGACTTTAAAGATCTCATAAGTGATTTTGCTAACATGAAGACCTGTCAGTGGGCATTTACAGGAAAATAAATTCCAGGATTTTTGTTTGAACACATTGTTGGCAAATAAAAATAATTATATGTGAAGTCTTGGCATTTCACTTTTATTATGCTGGCATTTGTATTTGCTCAATATAGAGGTTAAACTAAGATCATATTTATTATCTTGTCTTATAGCATGACAAAAAATGTGTCAGAGAGATATTAAGTAATTGAGCATGGGGGCCCACCTAGAAGACTTGTACCTAGGGCCCAGAATTTGGTGCTACGCCCCTGCTCAGAGCACCACCGATCGGTGTTAGCCGAAACTTGTCAATAAGAAAAGGTAAAAATAAATCTCCTATATGCTGTGATGGAGGTGATTCAACTACTGAATTAGGCATGCTGGAGCAGGAAAATGCCTGAAACATGAATCGCCAGGTTTACCTTCCCTTGTTTAATAATAAAAGAATAAATCAACAAACCAAAACTGGGCCACAAATGCAAGAATATCTCAATTGACCAGAAAGACAAGTAGGACTTCAGTTTTTCCATCTCATGGTGACAATTGTTACCATTTTTCTTGAGAGTACTTAAAGAGCAAGTCACCCCCTACCAGAGTATTACTCCACGCCCACTTCCTGTTTGAAAAATGCAACAAATGCTGCTGCCTAGCAGATTGAGAGGGCGGAGCAACTAACAAATACACACACACAGGCTCACAACGACACTGACATCATATGGTACCAGCTAACGTTCTAGGGCAGTGGTTCCCAAACTTATTTAGCCGCAGACCCCCTTCTATGTCCCGACCATGTCGACGCACCCCCCCCACCCCCCACCCCCCCAGCCCCCACATCAGGGCATGGCTATTATATATATATATATATATATATATATATATATATATATATATATATATATATATATATATATATAAAATATATATATGTATATATATATATATATATATATATATATATATAATGTATATATGTATATATATATATATATATATATATATATATATATATATATATATATATATATATATATATATATATATATATATGTATGAGATGTCAAGCTAAACAGACAGGGTTAAAAAATTTGATCGACCTTTTTCCCCATCACTTTCATTTTTTAAATAGTAATTAATAAACATTCGATACCGTTACAATTTCCTTTGATTTCATTTTAAATAAATATTTAGCGTGCCCAGGTAGCGCATAAACAATGCAATTTAACGGTTTTCTTAAAGTAGGAACGTTTAACCTGTGCGGCCAGAGTGCTCTCCTTCCTTCTGCTCTGCGTAAACCTGAGCTGATCACCTACTTGTGCGTAATCAAATGTCTTTATGGGAAAAGATGGAAACGCCATGAGGTTCACTTTTGCCTCAGACCGACTTATTGTTGTTTCATGGTGTGGCTGAATCTGCGATCCACTGCCATGCGGACTGGAATAACAAATGCTGCAGTAACATGAGATGTGGTCAGATTCATGAGGAGTCACTGGCTGGAGCGGACCCGACTTTAATACATCATCCCAAAATAGAAGCTAATATCTTAATTTGACCTTGAATGAAAAATGTTGTTATAAAACCTCTTAAAAGTTTTTATCACGGAGGAGGCAGCGCTCATTTCTGCCTTCAGTCTGACGGCGCACCGGAATTTGCGCATGCAGCGTGTGCGCTTATTGAATCTGTGTGAGTGTGTGTGTGCGCGCACACGCGGCACAGCTCCATGAGCCGCTCAAGTCACCACGTCTCGTTATTGGCGCTATTTAAACCAATGTTGTAAATTTACTTCTGCCCAGCCCAGATGTGCTCACTTGTGCACCCGTGAGCCGCGGTTCCGCTGGAACGCGTCTGACCTCTGACAGACGCACTCTGAAGTTCAGATCTTCAGCGCGTGTGAGGTTTACAATGTCAGAACACCTGCATGAGACAGGGTGTTTATTACAATCTGACAGAATGACTCACCACCTTCAGATTTCTCCAACATCGTTAAAAATGATCAAATACGGAACATATCGGCATAGGCAGGCCAGAGCGCTGAAGCTCGGCGCATTGTTATTATGAAGCTAGGGCACATGTGGAGGACACGCGCGCGCGTGCAAAAATATACTTGTTTTCAATTACATTTATTGGACCCACTTACTTTTTCTTAGGCCCACCCACAAATGCGTTTCTGGCTACGCTAATGGTGACATGTGACAGACTTCTCTGAGCTCCGCAGCCATTACACTTTTCACCTCGCGCACCCCCTAGCGGCAGCTCGCGCACCCCCGGGGGTGCGCGCACCACACTTTGGGAATCCCTGTTCTAGGGTACCTCTTAGCCAATAGCGATGGCAGATTTAAATTTAACTGCAGTGCAGAGTTTTTACCTGACAACGGCACAACACTGACAGTTTTAGGCAGAAAATTATAATTTTAACAAAAATGCACTAAAGTGCAAAATTATTGACTACACGTGTCTGCAGCACGATTAGACACGCATTTATTTAGTTTATCAGGAAAAAAAAGGTTGATTTGGGGGTGACTTGCTCATTAAACTTAACTGATCTTTATTACAGTTCTCCACTGTTTATAGTAACCACAGATAAGTCCCTTTTAGTAGTTTGTGCAGCACAATAGAGATTATTTTTATTTGGACAACTTCCTAACACGCTGCCTGGCCAAAGTGAACGTTCACGGTCTAATATTTAGTTGGACTGCCTTTAGCTATTATAACGGTGAAATTGTTTCAGTCAACATCTGCAAGGTCAAACGATGTATTTCCATCCAGCGTTGTTAATTTTTCACCAAGATTTTATATAAATGATGTGAGTTCGACCACAATGCAAAGCCTTCTTCAGCATATCCCAAAGATCCTCAGTGGGGTTGAGGTCCTGACTCTGTAACGGCCGATCCACTTGAGAAAATGTCTCGTGTTCACTGCTTTTCACAGCTTTCTAATCCAAGCATTTCCCCATCTATTCTCTACCAGCAGCTAATGCCTGAATCAGGGGTAGAAGATTATGTTCATGGTTAGTTTGCATGTTGAACACTTAGCTACTGATCATATTTTTACAAATAACAGGTAAAAAATGGTTTCTCAGGTAACTTTTTCTTTAATCGTGCAACAACGTGAACTCAGTCTCACCTGGTTCAAAGTCCCGATGGTGCAGACACAACCTCCAGCCTTGCTCTCTTTCCAGTTTGGGTAGAAGCTCTCCAACCACCCAGGGCTCATCGTGGGTGTTGTAGGAGATGAAGGCATCGTACTGATGAGGAGTTTGACTATTCTCGTGCTTTTTGTCGTAGAGCCAAGCCAAGAAGAAGTAGTAGGCACAGTACAGCTGCCACCTCATGAAGTGGTAGGTGAAGGTTGCAACCAGGAAACAAAGGACCATGCATGTTGTAGACACGTAGCAGATGAAGCCAGTTTCCACGGAGCAGGAGATTAGGTCAAAGTCCAGAAAATGTTTACCTTTGAAGCCTTCTGGATAGTTGCACAGGAAGTTAGATGCATCATAAACCTGCGTTTGTCTGCTGGCTATCGACCAGTTGAGGAACCAGGCGTTGTCGCAGTCGCACGTGAAACTGTTTCCCCACAAGTCCACGTAAACCAGGGCTGGTAGGGACTCGATTACCTCCTCCGTGATGACTGAGTATTGATTCTTTCTCGCTTGCAAGAACTCCAGCTTGGTCAGGTTAGCATCAATAAAGAAATCTAATGAACGAAGTGATGTTCTGGATATGTAGAGGCTTTTAAGCATTCCAGTTGAAGAGAAGAGCTCTGCAGACAGATCGGGCAAATCGTTTGAGCTGACATCGAGTTCTTCCAGTTCAGGTGCATCTTTCAATGTGCCAGCGTCCAGGTGGATGAGCTGGGAGTTCCTGACACTGAAACGCCGAAGTTTTGCCAAACCTTGGAGGATGTTTCGAGGCAGATACGACTTGCCTCTGGATCGCTGTCCACGAATGGACAACTCCTCCAGCTGCGACAGCTGAGAAAATGGGGATTTTTTCAAAGCTGTGCTGCTGGAATATTTTATGTTGTTGTTGCTTAAATCCAGTCTTCTCAGTCTAATGAGGGAATTGAATGCTCCTGTCTCTAAGGCATTGCTTTTCAGGGCGTTTGAGTGAAGCTGAAGCTCTGTGAGATTCGTCAATCCAGCAAAACCGTTGGCATCAATGGTCTTGATTTTGTTTTCATGTAATGTTAAGTTCAGAAGGGACCTCAAGCCTTGAAACGCTCCCTTTTTAATAGCAGTGAGTTTATTTCCGTTGAGATGAAGCTGTTTAAGTTTTGGTAAATGTTTCTCAAAAGCGCTTTTTAAATCAGTTATCTCATTTGATTGTAGTTTGAGAACTTGAAGTTTTACCAAATCTTTGAAAACGCAATGATCCAGGACAGAGATCGAGTTGTTGTTCAACTTCAGCTCGACGAGCTTCTCGTGATTGGCGAAGTCGTCACATTTAACTGCAGCGATTTTGTTGGAACTGAGAACCAGCGTCTCGAGATGATGCAGACTTCCTACGGCTGTTGGCACTGACGAAAGTTTGTTTAGACTGAGGATCAACGTTTTGAGATTTTTCAGAGGCACGAATGCGTTTTCATGGATAGTTTGTATTTGATTCTGGGTTAAATCTAATTTAATCACATTAACACACAACTGAAACATATTCTGATTGATTATTTTCAACTTGTTGTTTCGAACCTGCAGTGTCGACACTGAGGGAATGGTGCAAGAAAGGATGATGAGTTTTGCAAGGGTATAATTCATCCTCTTCATTCTGTTCAATGCTAGAGAAGTTAGTGACGAGTTCACTGATTCAAGCAAAGCACTTTTGTCATCAAAGCTTGCATAAAGCCCAGAAATATCCAGACTGGCGACTCGACTCAGGAAGCTCTTGTTATGTAAATCCCATTTCATCTGCATGTTACTGGAAGCGTCGCCAATAATAAAGCGAGTCAGATCTGGAAACACGTCGTCGGTTACGCTGAAGACTCGGAGAGGATTTCGTGATAAATCAAGTGCACGAAGTCCCAGTGAGCAGTTGGTAAGTTCCCATGAGTGAAACCTTCTCAGACCATTTCCTCTCATGCCCAGCTCCTGCAGATGTGGCAGATGCTGCAGAATTAGATGCACATTTGAAACCTTGTGCAGTTTGTTGTTGGAAATATCCAAAATCTTTAAGCTTGTCAAGGACCGGAAAGAGGTGGACGAAACGGTTTTGATTTGATTAGTATTAAGCCTTAGTTCGGTCAGGTTGCCCAAACCACCAAAAACATTCTCCACCAGTTTAACCAGTTTGTTGGTGTTTAAAGTTAACTTTCGGAGGGATCGTAAACCGGAAAAAGCAAAGCTGTCCATTAGAGAAATCTGATTTTGTTGAACGTTTAGCCACTTCAGCACTGGTAGGTGAGGGAAATCCGATGGTTGTATTCTTGAGATGCAGTTTTTTGATAAATCAAAGACCGTCACTGTCGGGGGAATATCTTGAGGAATAGTTTCCAGCTTGGAGTCGGTTATGGCACATTTGACTGTGGTGTTGCTGAGGTTGCAGCCCTTTAGGAAGAATCCTCCGACCGGAACAACAGTGCTGACCATGAACATCAAGCAGAAAATAGAACATTTTGTTCTTTCTTCTGGTTTAATTTTGTCTTCTGGTCCCATTTTTATACTTTTGTCTGAAGTTGGGTGAAAGGAGCTTCAGCTGGTAAAAAAAAAAAAAAAAATCCAGTAAAACATGTGAATTCTTACATATTTATGACATAACTGAGTTATTGTATGTTGTTTTTAACATTATGACAAAATAAATAATCTAATGAAAGAAAGATGTATTTAACTTTTTTGCATGTTTTTTCTAGAACACCAATCAACTGTTCAGGTTTCTTTTTATATAATGAAAATATGCAAGAGAGTTGATAGATGATTTAGAACAAATAGATGTTGATCAATTCATTAACGGTCAACACGAGACCCTCCTTTTGCTTAGATGCTATGTGGGAATAAACTTCTTGTGTAAAACAAACATAAAAAAAGCTCTGTCCTTTCATGAATAATAGTTAATGATACTCACTGTGTAACAAGAAGAAATAGAAAAACTGTTCTTGCTGTGATATCTGTGCGACCTGCAGAGGAAGTGGACCTTTGTTTGTTTAAATTGTCATCAGCCCTCCTAGCTGTGCAGATTTAACGTTTTTAAAATCTGATTTAACCATTTCTGCAAATAACCAACCACACGATCTTTAGTAGAGCAAATAAGGTTTGATTCTCTCGGTTACCGTTTTATCAACTTCCTCTTTTTGAACATTGCATGACGAGAAAAGCAAGACAACCTCTTCTTGGTTGGCCCACCCATGAAATGTTCATAGCTGTTTGTGTGTGCATTATTCTGGTGCCAGTTTATCCGCATGAATACATGTAGGGTCACGTCTGTTTTGCAGATGATTTATGTTTCCATTGTTTTCAAATGTGCAGCACAACTTTACAGCTGTTGGAAAACAAATATGAATCTGTTTCTTCTCTGATTTGCATATTAGACGTAAGATCATACGAGTTGTCATAACCTGGCAGTTTGTCTGTGTTTGTGTTTTTGTTTTGTTAACATCCTCATTGTTTTTGCTAAAGTTCAAACCTAATGTGCCCATTACATTATTCCATGAAAGAAGAGTGAATTTGTGAACATTCACTCACTCACCTGCTTTCCGTTCTACATACGGACACTAGGGGGTGCTAAAAGCAAGCCAAAACCGGTCCAGTTTCTTTCACCTGAGACGCCTTGCTAAAATCAAGCATATGCTGTCGAGAGCCCACCTGGAGCGGGTACTGCATGCCTTTGTAATTTCTCGGCTTGACTACTGAAACTCTCTATATGCAGGGTTGTGTCAGTCAACACTGCGTCGCCTACAGGTTGTGCAGAACAGCGCTGCCAGGTTCTTGACTGGGACCAGGAAACGGGACCACATCAGTCCAGTTCTGGCCTCCCTGCACTGGCTTCCGATTTGCTATCGCTCACAATTCAAAATACTCGTCTTTGTTTATCATTTCTTCCAGGGTGGTGGTCCCCCCTATCTAGCCACACTCCTGAAAAGACACTCCCCATCACGCACTCTGCGCTTCGCTGACCAAGGCCTGCTCGCTGTCCCTCGGTCTAGGTGTCGTACCCGTGGGGACCGGGCTTTCTCAGTCCTAGCACCGTCACTATGGAACCAGTTGCCACCCTCAGTTAGGCTGTCCCCTTCTCTGCCCGTCTTTAAGAATCACCTAAAAACACACCTCCTCCGCTTGGCGTTTCCAGAACATGTTTGATTTTGGCCCTCTTTTATGTTGAATCCATTCCACAGTTTTCATTGTTACACTCAATCCATCCACTCAATCCAAATGTGTTTCACACATTTGTCCTTTACCAGAATGTTTCATCTATCTTATAATTTCCATTTTGTATTTTGTAATTTGTATTTTGTAATTTGAATTTCTTTTATTGTTGATTTTTTCAGTATAATTACTTACAACTGTACCATGTTCAGCGCTTTGGACTTCCTGACAGGGTTGCGGAAGGCGCTTTATAAATAAAGCTTTGATTGATTGATTGATTGATTGAAAACTGCCTAGTCTCACCTTGAATCTAAACATGCATGTTTTGACATTTTGGAGGAAGCAGTATTTCACACTGTTTGTTGTCTTGCTACGACTAGCTTTTACCTTATTAGTCCAGTGAGATCTAATCGTTAATTTCCAAACTGAAGCCATTAACAAGTTATTTTTATTACAGTTAAGGTTATATTTGTTGATAACATTTCTATAGAACCAAACAACAAGCCTTTCACAGGGAGGACCACGGTTTAGTTCCCTATTGCTGCAAATATGTCAAAAAGGACATTTTATTTCTTTATTTGGCATGGAGGTTCATAGTCCTAACTATCAGGTTACTTGAGCCCAAACGTTTCCACACCTTTGCACATTGCAGCTTGAGGTGATATCAAGAAAGTAACAAAACTACTCTTTAAAATGTAGCTTTGCAGTTTTTTTGATTACACAGTTTAATTTGAAGGTAAGAATTGAAACAACAGTTTTCTAAAAAACTCCATTAAATATTTCTCTGACCAATAAGAACATTAAAATCCTCTGAAACTTGCTCATGTAAAGCAACCCTGGCTTTCCACTTGATTTGTAAGCAGTGCGCAACAAAAATAAACACATTTTAGCCGTGAGCTTACTTCCCACTGGGAGTGTTTCAGACACAAAATGGCAGTGAAAGCGTTCAGCGCAGCTGGACAAGGTCGTGAAACCACTGGATAATTGTAGGACCGGGACCACAGGTGACTCTGCTGCTTTCTGCAGTAGCAAGCAAGAAGAAAGATGGCAGTATGTATCAAAGGTCTGTAGTTTACTTTCTGTTCTGTTTGCCTCACCTGTGGAGGTTTAACATGTAATTACATACTTTTATTTTGAAAGTTTCCAGATATTTTACACTGTTTTCATGTTTGATTTCCTGTCTGACCCGATTTGAACTGCTGATCTTAAAGTGTTGTAGAAGCATATAGCTCATTAAAAATATATAGACTTGAGATGTAAATTTAGCTGAGAAACGCGTCGCTACACTTCCAGGACGCGTCCAAAACGTGCCACTTCGTCTGGCGTTAGCGCATCCACCCACATTGTCTCGAAGACATATATGCTAACATCATCTGCATAGCTGTTGCATTAGACATCCAAAGTTCATTAATGTCCAAGTAAAACGTGAAGGGTCCAAACATAGAACCTTGTGTTTTACCATATTATCACCTTTAACTTAGACAAATTATTTCCAAACCACAACTAATGTTCATCTTCTTATCTCCTCCTCAAAAAGACTGAAGTCTTTGTTTGTGCAGTTTTAATTGTTTTTGCTAGTCTGCGAGGGAAAGAATGTTTATTCCTTCCAGCCCCAGCTGTAAGTAGCAGCTTGTGGTGCAGCCATACCATCAAAACATAGTTTTTAGGCTTCAAAATCAACCCTTAAACTGCTTTGGAAAGCTTATAGTTGTCAGATATGACAAAAATGTAGTGATGATGATTCCTCTGACTGTCTACTGCAGGCATGATACTGACTACTCATGCCTGTAGAACACAAGCCAACTTCAAATAAACAGAAATCATTCCTTTGAGGGAAGTTTGTGGCTTTTTGCTCACATGAGCAAATTTAAGGAAGTTGAATTATGGTTTTCAGGTTCTGCAGTTATTGACTTCTGCTTGCTCTCCTGTGCAAATGTTCACAGTTCTTCATTTTTTGTTTCAGCTTTCGGTTCTTTTGTATTTGTTTTATGAACTTTGTGAGCGTTTTCTCAGATAGTTTTGCTGTTTGCTTTCTAGTATTACACTCACACTGAAACAAAAGTGATTTTCTTTATATAACGATGAGCAGTCAGTGTTATTTGTCACTTTCCCATGGCAGAATGTTATCGTTTTTATTGATAAGAAGTTCCTTTATTGGTTACGTTACTGTGATGCACTGGTGTTGTCTAACTAAATGGTTCTTGTGTGAAATACGTCCCACCAGGATTTCCAAGCCAGTATGAATTGTTCAGTGGTGACATTAATAAATATGACCGCATTATTTTATACATCCTAGAAGACCGCTGTTTATATATTAGAACACACAAAAGTCCATAATTCAGTTAAAACCAGAGAGATTATTCAGATTAGCATCTTCATCAAAAACCTGTAAATCATGCATGTGTCTACTGCCCTATGGTGGAGGATGTACAGGGAGAGGGCCAATTTTATTTTCATATTACTGTTATAGAGCATCGGTTGCTCAGGAGATAGTGAGTTGTCAGATTAATCCCAGGTCCCTCCAGGGAATCCTGCTGTTCCCTTGAGCAAGACACTTAAAGAGCAAGTCACCCCCTACCAGAGTCTTACTCCACTCCCACTTCATGTTTGAAAAATGCAACAAATGATGTTGCCTGGCAGACCGAGAGGGCGGAGCCACTAACAAAATACACACACAGGCTCACAACAACATTGTGACATCATAATGCACCATCTAACGTCATTGTGTACTTCTTAGCCAATAGCGATGGCTGGCCGATTTAAATTCAAATGTAGTGCAGAGTTTCTACCTGACGACGGAACAACGCTGACAGTTTTAGACAGAATATTTAAATTTTAACTAAAATGCACTAAAGTGCCAAAATATTGACTACACGTGTCTACAGCACAATTTGACATTAATTTGTATAGTTTATCAGGAAAAAAATACTTGGTTTGGGGGTGACTTGCTCTTTAACTTTCCTATGTCGTTGGTGGTAAGAGGTGCCAGTGGTGCAAGATAGCCACCTAACCTCCAACAGGCTGGCCAAGGGAAGCTGTGCCTATGTAGCAGCTTACCATCACCAGCAGTGTGTGATGTGTGAGTGCATGGATAATGGAAATCACTATGGGGGGCGTGAAAAGTGCAATATAAATCTGATTATTATTATTACTATTATGCTGTTATAGAATTAGATAATCAAATAAATTATTGCATAGTTGATATATTAATATTAGACAATAAATTGTTGGTTTTATAGAATAGATTTTCATATTTCAAACTTTAAAGGCTTAAAAACCTGAAGTATAATGCTGACTCTGTGATCCTTGAGTATTTACATTTGTTACATTTCTTTTTTTAATGAGGCAGATGACATTTTTATGTGAATGATCAATTTAAAAATATTCCCACTAAAGTTACATAAAGTCTTCTGGTCTCAGTCTAACTTCCAGACCATCATAAATGTCAGCTGTGTTTGTTACCAGCAGAGGTCTCTGTCTGGATGGAATGCTCACCATCTCTTCCTCCGTGTCTACATCCATCCACCCACCCACAGGTGATGGGTATCCAGATCTCATTGTTGCTGCATCACTTATCTGCTGAACTAACTTAATTTTGGTTCTTTCCCTCCGACACGACGGGTTTGACATCATTTCATTACAAACGAATCAAGTTACTGCGAGAGAAAAAATAAAAATGAACATATTCCTGAAGTCTTCAGCTGAGAAAACGTCTTTAATCATGGCTGAAGTGTGTTAAAGCCAAGTAACGAAGTATGAATGTATGCATTTATACGTACATTCACACAGCAGCCCTTCAGTGGCTTTTTGCTAGAGGGTGAAGGATGCAGTCGCTATAGCAACAAAACCTCATGTTACCCCTTTTCCAGCTGAGATGTTGCTCTGCTGTTTTTGTTGTCAGTGTGTCACCAGTTTGTAACAAAAACAAAACAGCAGCTTCAGCTTTTTCCTTTAGCGCCTCATTCATGAACTTCAACATTGTGGCACAAATAAGATGATCATCGGCTCCAGCAAACAAAGTTACTGATGTAATCAATGCTTCCTTTTTTAATGGTTGACCAGTTAGATTAGGACATGTTAATAACTTACAGACACATTTTATGGTGGTTAAAACCTAAACGCTCAGAGGGAGCCTCTGCACATCTCACCTCAGTCACCTATTTATCAATATTATAGTTCAGCTGCATCAGCATCCAACAGCAAATCACCTTGTTTAGTCCCTAACACTGTATATTATTTTCAGAATTATTATGAATGAAAATCTGTGCTTAATATTTAAAAGATAAAAATGTAACGGTACTATATTAAACTAATTGTGTTATCAGGCAGTAAAGTGATGTTTATCATGTGGGAGAATATGGGTGTTTCTCAACGCCAAGGAACCTTTTAACGTCTTGGCCCCGCCCCGGTTGCCTAGGAGATACGTCATCGGGAGCTGCCAAGACGTGTTCCAATGTTCATGTTCTAACGAGGCATGTGTTCTCCGTTTGTTAGCTGTTTAGCTAGCTGAGCAAGGACACAGGGGAGGTGTCTTGTAGCCTAGCCTTGGTCAAAAATTACCCAGAATACACCGCGGTATTTTCAAAAGGACGGCGGCTCAGAAGCCGACAGCTACCTCGGGGACAAATTTCAAGTTCAAAAGTAAGTCAGCTAATTTAAAATGTTTTTTTTTAAGATCCAAAGAAGTTACCTATGGTTGGTTAGTTGCTAAGTAGTTGCAGCTTCGGTGGCTAGCGGGTAGTAACTCGCTTATATTTTTAATTTAATAAACATATACACAATTTAAAAATTGAAAGGCTCGTTATATATTTATATTGAAACTAATATGTATAAAATATAACGTTATCTCCTGTGTCACGTGACGTTACATGACCTCCGTGGAAGCTGCAGTCACGTGATGCAAGTTTGCCCAAGGAAGGATAGTGTCCTCGTAAGCAAGGCGACTGAACCCGCAAGGCCATTGAGAAACACCCTCTTAGTTCATAATTTAACATTTAATAATAAAACATTTGATGTAATTTCACAGAAATACCCATGCTTTATCATACATATGTATTTTCACAGATATATTATTTTAATTTTAATATTTTTACCAATCTTGTAGTTAAAATGTATTAAATCTCAAACAATGTTGGATGTACCTGATTAGAGATGAAGGCAGTTGGGGCATTTTTTTATGACCTAATTAGACTTTTAGCCTGGTCTTTTTTAATTTTTCCTCTTTTTTCCTCATTTGGAGGTCCCACTGCTGTAGTCCCTTGTATCACAGTCTGGTCTTTGTGTTGCCATTCCTCCTCCTTCATGAATGCAGGAATGACTTTCTGCAGGTGTTGGGTTTTGCAGTTTGTCTGATGTTCTGCTTCATCTTGATGCAATGAGACGTCCATCACGGTCTAGGAAAAGTCCACGAAAGTTTGAGGAAATCGGATGGAACAAAGTCTTGAACTGCATTTCACACAGGGACGAGTTCTGAAGCTGAACAGAAATCTTCAGAACATTTGTTTGTTGGGGCCTGAAGATTTTCATAAAATTATACCAGAGGTTTTTTTCAATGTGCACACTCATGTAAAGCTGTTTCATTTTCAGTAGGAGCTGTGGGGTGGTGGTGGGCTACTGATGGCTGGTTATTGGTGTGTTCAGGGCCTGTTGCAAGCTCTGGCATGACTGAAAAGCTGAAAAACCCATTAAAATGAACCACTTCCTAGAACACAATCAACTCCTGTCTGCTGTAGTCTAACATCTTTGGCACGTGGGAGTGTATGCAATCTGATTTTATGCTTCAACAGAATTTCATTAAAATAATAATGTCTTTGCAACAAAATAAAAATGCATCAAGTTCTCTGTTATACCTCATAAGTCGCTAGCTTTCAACGTCGTCAGCTCTTAACCCAAATCATAAAAAAGATGTCAGTATCTCTTCAACCTAAATTATTGCATTTTGGAGTTCTTAAGTTGTTCTCTGCAGATAAAAAACAGAAATAATAGCAACTAGCCATGATTTTCTTCTTACTATTTAATACAAAACAAAAAAATTATGTTATTAAAAGAAGTCTAATTTTTTTCTAAAACACCAAGTTTTCTGTCTTGCTGACTTATTTATGTGAACTTTTCCAATTCAATTAAAGGTTCACAGTTAGGGTCAGGACACAACACCCGGTAGGTAATGGTAGTTTATATTGGGTAAAATTGTTGTTTATCATCTGCTTGAAATTCTTGTCTCCTTCAGTCAGTTTTAGTTTGATTATTTTCCATAAATTATTATCCGCAGAGTGGCTGAACTCTCCCTCAGAGATAGGGTGAGAAACTCAGTCATCCGGGAGGGGCTCGGAGTAGATTCGCTGCTCTTCTACATCGAGAGGATCCAGTTGAGATGGCTCGGGCATCTGGTCAGGATGCCTCCTGGACGCCTCCCTAGTGAGGTTTTCCGGACATGTCCAACCGAGAGGAGGCCTAAAAGTAGACCCACACATTGGAGGGATGTCTCTCACCTGGCCAGGGAACGCCTTGGGATTCCTCCGGAGGAGCTGGCCCAAGTGGCTGGGGAGAGGGCAGTCTGGGCCTCTCGACTTAGGCTACTGCCCCCATGACCCGACTCCGGATAAGCGGATGAAAATAGATGGATGGATGGCTATTTTCCATAAAACAGCTACAGGAGATTTCAAATTAAGAAAATGAATCTTTTACAAAAGCAGAGCCCTGAGGCACACCGCTGTTCAGCGCCATGTCTTCACTGGTTATTCTTTACCATATTTTTACATTTAATAAAGCTAATATTTAGATAATATTATTATCTCATATATTCAAACTTCAAGCTGTTAAAAAGTCCCCCTAAACAAGCATTTGATGCTAAAGTAACATCAAAATGTGGCGACTGGCTCAGACTAGCCATTAGCTCATCAATCATGCGATAGTTTGCAATGTAAATATTTATAAATATGACACCAAAAACAAGTACGTTTCTGCAACTGACACATTTATGCTTTACATTTAAAGATGAGGAAGGACCCCCCCCCCCCCCCCCAACTGGAGGCTGGGGGAGGAAATGGAGCAGTGGGGGAGGACTCGTTAAGTTTCCTCACCCCAGCGAGTGAAACAGATGAGTGTGCAGGAAACCCACGTTTCCATCTCCCCCCATATCTGCATGATCGGGATCTCTCTGGAGGAAACACGCCGACACGTGCGCGCGCTGCCACCCACGGCTCGCGCGCACAGATTAATCATATCAGGAGAGCGAGGAGATGCTTAGTCCGGTGTGAGATACCCTACACTGCTGCTGTGCTGTCGGTACCGGAGCGCGCGCACGCACACACACACACACACGCTCCTCGGTAGCTATCACACACAGGAGCAGAACCAGGCTGGCGCACACACTGGAAAGAAGGGAGCGGGGCACACATGTCAGACCGCTTCAAGCAAGGGGGATCCACCGGATTGAGGACCCTCCTGCGTTAACGGGACCCCGAACCGGGTCGACGCAGAGCGGGGAGGGGGGCGACACCGGATCGGAATAGTGTCATAAACGAAGGTGTCACCTGGCTGCAGCGGGAGGGAGGAGAGGGGAGGAGGGCGGGAGGGACCTCCTGTCGGAGCCGTGCTTTGGGGGGAACGAGTCCAGCTCGCGCGCAACGGAGAGTCGGCGCAAAGTTTCCTCGATGGCGCTGGTGATGGAGCCGGTGAGCAAATGGAGCACGAGCCAGGTGGTGGACTGGATGAAAGGTAGGAGCACAGAGCGGGCTGTGAGTGAACATGGAGAGACACGGAGTGACAGGATGCTGCGCTGCGTGGGAGGTGTGTCCGCGTGAGTGTGTGCATGCCTCATCCTAGCACCTGATGATCAGTGGGTGATGATGTCTCCTACTGAGAGAGGGACAGCAGGAGAAAAAGCTGAACTTCAGGGGTGGGTTTAAAAACTTTTGGCCAGGGGCCACATTCCTGGGGGTGGGTGTGAATGAGGGCCCTGTGCCTTTTTAGGTTGATGCAGAAGCAACAAGGTGTTGGAGACATCCATCAGAGATTCTCCATGAACATGAGTTTTTCGTTCCACCACATCCTGAAGGCGCTGGACTGGACTGTCACTGTGGTGGTTGTCCAGCGAACTCATGGTTATGTATAAAAACAAGTTAGAGATGACACTTTGTGACATGGTGCATGATCCTGCTGGAAGTAGCCATAAGAAGATGGTTCCATGTGGTCATAACGGAATGAACATGTTCAACAATAACACTCAGGAATGCTGTGGTGTTTAAGCCAGGAGCAGGTGGCACTAAGGGGTCCGAAACGGGACAAGAACATCTCCCCCACACCATGACACCAGCAGCAGCAGCCTGAAGCACTGATACAAGGCAGGATGGATCCATGATTTCATGTTCGTGACACCAAATTCTGACCTGACCATCTAATGTTGGAGCTGAAATCCTGATTTATCAGACGGGGAAAGGTTTTCCTAAGATGGTCCACTTCTGAAAATCCTTTGTGAATTGTAGCCCCAGGTTGCAGGAGAAGCTCATCTGAAACGAGGCGTTCTGGTTCGGTGATTGGTTAGAACCCAGGGTCATTGTATTCACTCCGGTACAGATTAATGTCAAAAGCCTTAATCTGGACCCTGATCAGATACTTGGATTTGGTTTAGGACATTAAAAGGAAAACCAAAACAGAATATAAATAAATAAATAAATAAATAAATAAATAAATAAATAACAGAATGTTATTTTCCCCAACATTTGTCATTGGGCTCGCCCCGTAATCGGAAGGTTGCAGGTTTGAGCCCCGCTTAGTCTGTCGCTGTCCTTGGGCAAGACACTTGACCCACCTTGCCTGCTGGTGGTGGTCGGAGGGGCCGGTGGCACCAGTGCTCGGCAGCCTCGCCTCTGTCAGCGCGCCCCAGGACAGCTGTAGCTACACTGTAGCTCATCCCCACCAGTGTGTGAATGTGTGTGTGAATGGGTGAATGACTGATTGTGTTGTAAAGCGCCTTGGGGGGTTCCAGGACTCTAGAAGGCGCTATATCAAATACAGGCCATTTACCATTGGTTTGCAGTACAGCTCCACTACAGATGTAACATTTTAACAATTTGTTCCTGAGCTTCTGCTTTGTTGGTTTAATGCAAACCCTTTCAGATATAGAAGAAAACTATTCATAGCACTTGATGCATTTTAGTGTTATTTCCCAGTGGACTTAGTATGAAAATGAACAGCTAGTTGCATATTTTATGTATCTGCAAGTTTGGGGTTTCTTAATGTCGGCTTCAACTTTGCCACTCCTCATGAAACAGATGGTGGCCTTGCTTCGATCATGACGGATTCACAATGACGGCATTCATGCAAGAAGCTCCTGTTGCTCCTAGCACAGGACTGCAGAGACTAACGAAGAAAAGACAGATGCTGAAACATCTCATCTGCTGGCTCTTTGAGGAGGATGGCTATGAACAGGCTAGGCTGTAATGCTGTGTCACCACTTGCAGTTCTCTATGCGGTTATCTTTATTTATGATGTGTGGGAATGCAAATTCAATCTGAGCCCCAGAAATCTCATTTAACTAACAAATAGAAAGAAAACCTGTTAGTTATTGTGCTTATGCATAAATTGTAAAGCATTTGGTGGAAACGTTGTGATTATTTGATATTTAGCAAATTTTGGGGGTATGCTTTGCACAGATTATTGGTCTTGTATAGTGTTCAGCACCTTGGGCTTCCTGACAGGGTTGCGGAAGGCGCTTTATAAATAAAGCTTTGATTGATTGATTGATTGATTGTTTATAGCAAATCTCTGAAGAGTAAACCTAATTCACAATTTTTGTTTCCATACATCACTGGGATGTACTGATCTGGAGCTCTTGGCTTTTGTTTTTATTTATGTGATTTATTTCCACTAAGCTGCTTGTAGACAGATATAAAGCAAAATACACACACACACACACACACACACACACACACACACACACACACACACACACACACACACACATATATTTATATATATATATATATATATATATATATATTTATATATATATATATATACAGAGGGGCAAAAAAGTATTTAGTCAGCCACCGATTGTGCAAGTTCTCCCACTTAAAATGATGACAGAGGTCAGTAATTTTCATAATAGGTATACTTCAACTGTGAGAGACAGAATGTGAAAAAAAAATCCGTGAATTCACATGGCAGGATTTTTAAAGAATTTATTTGTAAATCAGGGTGGAAAATAAGTATTTGTTCACTTCAAACAAGGAAAATCTCTGGCTCTCACAGACCTGTAACGTCTTCTTTAAGAAGCTTTTCTGTCCTCCACTCGTTACCTGTATTAATGGCACCTGTTTGAACTCATTATCTGTATAAAAGACACCTGTCCAAACCCTCAAACAGTCAGACTCCAAACTCCACTATGGCCAAGACCAAAGAGCTTTCGAAGGACACCAGGAAAAGAGTTGTAGACCTGCACCAGACTGGGAAGAGTGAATCTACAATAGGCAAGCAGCTTGGTGTGAAAAAATCAACTGTGGGAGAATTTATCAGAAAATGGAAGACATACAAGACCACTGATAATCTCCCTCGATCTGGGGCTCCACACAAGATCTCATCCCGTGGGGTCAAAATGATCATGAGAACGGTGAGCAAGAATCCCAGAACCACACGGGGGGACCTGGTGAATGACCTGCAGAGAGCTGGGACCACAGTAACAAAGGTCACCATCAGTAACACACCACAACGGCAGGGAATCAAATCCTGCAGTGCCAGACGTGTTCCGCTGCTGAAGCCAGTGCATGTCCAGGAACGTCTGAAGTTTGCCAGAGAGCACATGGATGATACAGCAGAGGACTGGGAGAATGTCATGTGGTCAGATGAAACCAAAGTAGAACTTTTTGGTATAAACTCAACTCGTCGTGTTTGGAGGAAGAAGAATACTGAGTTGCATCCCAAGAACACCATACCTACTGTGAAGCATGGGGGTGGGAACATCATGCTTTGGGGCTGTTTTTCTGCTAAGGGGACAGGACGACTGATCCGTGTTAAGGACAGAATGAATGGGGCCATGTATCGTGAGATTCTGAGCCAAAACCTCCTTCCATCAGTGAGAGCTTTGAAGATGAAACGTGGCTGGGTCTTCCAACACGACAATGATCCCAAACACACCGCCCGGGCAACAAAGGAGTGGCTCCGTAAGAAGCATTTGAAAGTCCTGGAGTGGCCTAGCCAGTCTCCAGACCTCAACCCCATAGAAAATCTGTGGAGGGAGTTGAAAGTCCGTGTTGCTCGGCGACAGCCCCAAAACATCACTGCTCTCGAGAAGATCTGCATGGAGGAATGGGCCAAAATACCAGCTACTGTGTGTGCAAACCTGGTAAAGACCTATAGTAATTGTTTGACCTCTGTTATTGCCAACAAAGGTTATGTTACAAAGTATTGAGCTGAATTTTTGCTATTGACCAAATACTTATTTTCCACCCTGATTTACAAATAAATTCTTTAAAAATCCTGCCATGTGAATTCATGGATTTTTTTTTCACATTCTGTCTCTCACAGTTGAAGTGTACCTATGATGAAAATTACTGACCTCTGTCATCATTTCAAGTGGGAGAACTTGCACAATCGGTGGCTGACTAAATACTTTTTGTCCCACTATGTATGTATGTATATATATATATACATATATATATATATGTGTGTGTGTGTGTGTGTGCAAAGCAGGCTCAATTTTAACCAAATGCAGAAGTGCAAGGTTTCAGAGTTAGCTGTCAAGAAAAAAAGTTTTATGCCGCCAGTTTCAAAAGTAGCAAGCCAAAATTTGGTATTGTAGCAGCTGAGAGTTCTCCTGAAGACAATCTGAGTACTAACAGAGCAAACAAATGTTTCCTATTTACAAAAGATAGTTTTTTTATATTGATATGTTCATATCTGACACCACTCTGTAGCCCTCTGTTGACCAAAAACCACACTTGATAGTTTTGTGGAGCGGGTGTTCTAGGGTGGGCGCTCTTCACCTGCTTTACTGCTTTACTCTAGTTTGAGGGAGCTATCGAAAGCTACGAAATCATGACCTGATGCTGACCTTGCTTTGTTGCTACTTGACTTGTAAGTAATAATACTTTTGTCCAACAGTGTGGATCTTTTTACTTGGTTGATTATTTTAGTAGTAGTTTGCTCATGTTAGTGTTAGTTTGTTGTTGATTCAGTTCAGTTCAATTCAGTTTATTTATACAGTTCCAAATCACAACAAGAGTTGTCTCAAGGTACTTCACAAAGTAAACATTCCAATACATTTCAGTTCAGCAAGTTTCCTTCATAAGCAATCCTTATGTAGGGAACTTATTTACTGCAATCCTCATACCAAGCAAGCATGCAGCGACAGTGGAGAGGAAAACTCCCTTTTAACATTGTTAACATTGTTAGAGCTAGCTAAAGCAGGATGCTGCAGGGTTGTTTACGACGGTTGTAATTCATCTTTCAACCAGCAGGGTGGAGGGGCTGGAGACTGTCTAGTGTTACTTTAAAACAATTACCGTTGGTTAGTGACTAATTTTCAAAGAAATGTTCAGTTTTCACTAGACAGTCGACCGGCCTTAGAAGACACAAAATGGCTAAAAGTCCATCTTATTTAAAGTTGGAAGATGTCGGTTTTAAAGTGTGGAACAAAAAGATGAGTAGGACTTAAAGACCTTTTCCATGGTCAGCTACCTTTTTGTCTTCAAGCCTTGATTATCAGCAGTCGTCTGCAG